TGTGACGGTTTTAGAGATATAGGAATCTATTTTTTGTTATGGATTGGATGAGGTGTTGCGGGTAGGAGTTTTTGGTTAGGATTTGTGAAATGAGAGAGAGATTCTTTCTTAAAGATTTACTGTGTGATAATAATAATGCGTGGTCTATTAAGTTTACGATTGTGTCTATTTTGATGGAGAGGGAGTGGTAAGAGTGGTAATTAAGATAACGGCCTGAGTATGTTGGTTTGTGATACCAATCAGTCATTATATTATTATTTTCGCGAAAGAGTTGGTCATCTAAGAAACTGATAGATTTATTATTGTCTAATTCAGAGGTGAATTGTAGGTGTTGGTTGTAGGCATTAAAAGAATTCACAAGAGTTGCTATGTCACTGTTTGGGATGCATGTTATGATGTCATCAACATATCAGTAGTAAAAAATTTGTTTGTTGTAGGAATTTAAAATTGTGGATTCTATGCGTTGAAGGGCTATTTCAGCTAAAGGTGGGGAGGCTGGACATCCCATTGGTGTACCAAATGTTTGGAAATAAAATTTACTATTGAACTCAAAATATAAGTTAGAAATTAAAAATTTTATTGTTTCTCGAAACCAGTGTAGGGAAATTGTGGTATGGAAGGATATATCATGCCATTTTTTAGTTATGGATTCAAGGATAAGGTCTAAAGAAACGTTTGTAAACAATGATACTACGTCTAAACTAATTAAAACATTATTATTTCAAACTGTAATTTGTTTAAGTTTTTCGACAAACTCGAAAGAATTTTTTATGTGAAATGGGGATTGTTTAGTGACAGGAGTTAAGGAATTGTTTGTATATCTTGATAATTTATAAAGTGGTGAGTTAATGTTTGATACAACAGGGCGAAAAGGTAAGTCAGGTTTATGGATTTTGGGAAGACAGTACAATCTTGGGGGGTAAGGATGTAGGTTTTTTTTAAAAAAAATAGAATCCTATATCTCCAAAACCGTCACAATAATTCAGTTGAAAACCCAAACCTTGAAAACTACGTCGGAACTATAAGTTTACCATTCAAAAGAATTACATTACCCGTGGTGAAAACTTTTCAATAGAAATAATATTAGAGTAGTTTGTACTTCCGATAACACCTTTTCAACTCTTTTTACAAAATTAAAATCGAAATTTACCCCAAGAATCTTAAGTAATCTAGTTTATAAGCTTAATTGCCTAGATTGTAATTGCGTCTACATAGGTGAAACCAGTCAAAACTTGTGTAGTGTATTTTTGTATAATTAATTTCTGTAAGTATTTATATATAAGTTCTATAACTTTATAATATTTTCCTCCTACATCATATAAAATCTTTTAGTTTTTTCCACTGAATGACGGTCTCGATGAAGACCGAAACGTATGGATAAATAAAGTATTTCAAAAACTACTTTAGTTTTTTTTTACTTGGTGTTACTGCCGGATTCTAAATAACTCACCAAAATATATCAACACCAAACTCACATATTTCAATATACAGTAGAACCTCGATTATCCGGACCTCGGTTATACGGATTCGCGATTAATTCGCCCGCGCGGCATTATAGCTTTATGTAGTTCGTTTGCAATTTTACTAGTGTGTTCTGACGTGCATATATAAATTTTTAAATGGCGGTGTTATCCCTTAAAGATAAAATAAATATTATAGAATCATTAAACAAGGCAAAACCCGCCGTAAGTTAGCTGATAGGTATGGTGTAGGTACATCCACTATAAGCGTTACTAAAAAGAATGCCGATTGAATTTTGTGGGAGTGAAAATCGCAAAATGATGAACAGACCGAAAAATTAACTCTTAGAAGAAGCTCTATATTGTTGGTTTTTACAAAAACGATCAACAAATTATTCGCAAGCAACTTTTCTTCTTCATTAATACTTTACGTACCACCTGAATATTTTACCTCATGATTAATATAATATATATAATGTAATCTAATTGTGAGAAAATATGTAAGTGTAAATTTATCTCTCGAATAGTAATGCTGATGAACTAAGTTAACATAAGAAGTATTTGAAATTTGACATTTGAAATTTTTCAAGATCTCCATTTTGTTATTTAAAAAATGTTATTGATAATTAGCATTAAATATGTGTTTGAATATACCCATGAGTTCCGAAAACATGGTTTTAAATAGTTTGAGAATTCCAGAATTATAGATATCTTGATTAATTTTGTTATAAATTTATTCAAAATTGAAGATCAAACGACAAATAAATAAAAAAGCGACAAAATCTCCAATCTAGTAATTCTTCTGCATGATAAAGAAAATCTTTTCTGTTTTAACATTACAATTTTTAGTGACAGCCCATGTATCGTGCGAGAAATCTAATTTTGATACAAAGGCTTTGATTACTAGAAACTGCACCGTCAACCGTTTACTTCGATCCTTACTATAAAATCGTCATCGTAAGATCGACCCTAACAGCTAGCGCCTTTCGAAATGATGCAGGAATATAGCTTTTAGGTCCATGAACATCTCGTGACCCATTATGCTTTTCCTGGCCGCAAGATCCTCACTTATGGCTTACAACTTAAGATTTTTATGCAAATGAAATGCATAAAATAGTATTAACCATTTAAGCATCTCGAACGAGACCCTCTCACACGCCGAATGTGTTCCGATTTGCTCGCGCCCGAAAGCCTCTCGCCACATACAAATATTCTGTTTTCACTTCGATCGACGCTGTCTCGCTTAAGAATTGTTCCGATTTTTCCTATCGCGAGTACTTGTCGCCTCTTTTGTTATATATAATCTTAATTTTTTTTATCTAAAACGATAATTTTTAGCCTTTTTGAAGAGCTTATGAACTTGTACTTGTAAGTGGATATTTCTTATATAATTGTTCAACAGCATGATCTTGGTGTTTTTTTAAATTTAAAAAAAAAAAAAAATTTAACTTTTTAAAAAAATGTTTTTTTTTTTTTTTAATTTTTATGTTGTTTTGACCTTATATCAAGATTTTTACAATATTAATATGTCAAATAAAAACAAAAAAAACTGCTTATTTTTTGACCTCACTTCACAAAAAAACCTAGCATTAAGTGGTTAATAAAATAAACAAATGTGTTTTAATTAGTTGTAAACAATTTGAAATACTTGACTCGACTTCATGTGGTTTGACAAATCCATAGATATACAAAAAACACACTATAGAACACATTTGTGTTGAGCATTAGATTCCAGAGTGGTCAAAGTGGTTAACGGGGGAGTTAACTCAACTTAAAGCAGAGTCATAAAGATTTGCCTTCGAATATGATAAGCCCACTCCTAACATATATTCTATGATAACTAGTGTTAGAACGAAATATCGAGTACTGAGTAAATATCGATACTTTGCGGTCGATAGTGAGTACTTTTGGTATCGATTTTTTAGCTCGATATATTTGCCAATATCGATCTTTTACGTCGATAGTACTCAAAAAGAATCGACAGCGTAATCTATGAACACCACTTATCGACCAACTATGAAAACCAACCATTTTGCCGAATGCAATGCAATAGTCTCTCTAGGTGGTCATAATTGTTCAGAGAAGTGACAAAAAATGATCCCGAAGGGTCATTAGTCTCAGAATTTATTGCTCAAAAACCCAAAATGGATATGACCACACTAATAAATAAAGATGTTTATTTATTACTCTTTTGTAAAATGAAACGCCTTTTTAAAGTACCAAAATGTTTTATAAAAACATATTCAACAATCGAAGTATGATTATTTCAAATAATAATATTCATCAATTTCAATATATTAGTATTTTGCGTAAAAAAAATCGAAATATAATTATTTCAAATAATAATATTCATCAATTTCAATATATTAGTATTTTGCGTAAAAAAGAATCGAAATATAATTATTTCAAATAATAATATTTATCAATTTCAATATATTTGGTTCTTGTGGCAATTGTTTGCACTGAAAAATATTAAAAATATGATTGTGCTTAAAAATACTTAAAAAGTATTGCTTTTTGAATATAGTATCAGACTATTATATTGTTTTAATCAAAAATAATCAACTATTATAACTTGTCTTTTGATTTAACACATCAGATTACAAGCAATAGAATTCATTCTAATATTGTGATATAATATTTAATGAGTTTTAGATCTTTCTTGCACTTATGTTTGATTTTTATGAAAAGTACTCAAAATTCGATATTGAGTACTATCGATACTTTTGCCACGATATTTTTTTGGCATCGATATTTTGATTAGATACTTTTCAAAGTACTCAATATCGATCTTTTGCCTCGATACTTCTAACACTAATGATAACAACTAATTGCATAATCCATATAGTTTTAATGCATTGACAGATCTTGTTAAAACTAATAAAATACAGGGTCAGACAGAAATAGTGGATGGATTTCCAATAACTATAAATAATAAATGATATTAATCAAAAGTTTGTGTATTGTAAAGTGTTATCAATATATTGAAGTTTATTTGTAAAAAAATAATAGCTTCTAAATTGTGTCCCTTGTTGCAATTTATGTTCTGATTGCTTCTTTTAGGACATAGATGGTTGGAGGACAGTTAGTGGCCAGGATGACCCATGGAAAAAAATCAAATGGCGTTAGATCGTACAACAGTGCTAGATATGATATTTCACTATGTTGTGAAATAATGTGTCTAGGAAACATTTAATTTGTTGTGATCTGTAAAAAATGGCTCTGTCTTGTTGAAGCCATATCTCACCATTAGGTTGCACAAAGGTCTGTGACATGTGAAATTAAAGAGCCGATGTCATTGTAACATCCGTACCATTCCCAAATTTTATTAAAAGTTTAAGTTTTTATACGTACTCTTATATGTAGACACCTTCAAAGAATAACCTGACATGCATTCACATAATAATGAGTACTAAAACTTCAATTAGTGCAGTCACAACGCTTCAATACACTTTGCTACTTCTATCCATATAGAAACAATGGACACTGAAAATCCATTTTCTGCCAGACCCTATACTTTCAAATAAAAAATATAACTACCTGTGCATGTTGTGCCAGTTGAAATATTATCTCATCTCCCTTGTGGCTTTCACTGAACGTTATCAATTCATTTAATAATTCCGATACATTAGCATCAGATAAACCTTGTATGTTTTCCAGAAATAAATGTGGTATTCTAAACAAATCAAAAATAGAAATAGAATTATTCAAATATATAATAAAATTTAAATTAATAACTAGCTGTCAGTATTACTCATTTGGATAATTTTTTGAACACTCCACTCGTAAATTTAATTTGACGTAAGCCTCAGTATTTCCTGAGCTGCTTTGTAAGGGCCTCAATCTAAGCAATATATGCAAAGGTAAATCACCATCACCATCACCATCGTTTGCCAAATTGATCAAGTCATCACCAAATATGCTCTAGAAAGAGAAAAGAGAATTAGTATTGAATTCTTGGAAATAGTATAGGATACTAAGCTTACTTTCAATGCATCAAGTTCATTTTTCTGTCTTTCATCGCAACAGTCATCGTTCATCATTGTATTAATTTTACATTCATTCAGAAGCAAAGAAAAGTTAATAAATAATAATTATTTGCACTGTATTAAACTTTCAATCCTCACTCTTTTATTGTGATTTGATGTTAATTGACACTATACAGAAAGCCATAGACATAAGCATTATTGTGATATTAACTGACATTTTCTCAAGCAAGCCATAACATAACATAACCTCATCTCATAATCCACACACCCCGTTAAAACCCAAAAAATATGCCATGTACTAAGAAACCCAACAGACGTCATAAAAAAAACGACTTACCAACATTCAGAGACGAAAGACACTGTGTAATACACCTAAACTGTCATTCGCAAATGAAACGTCAAAATAACACATATAACCTCCATGAAAGAATTGCTTTCACAGTGAAATGTTCTTTGTTAGCGAATATTATTACGAAAAACGATAAATTTTGTTTGATTAGAACATTAAAGAGTGTTTTAGATTAGTTATTGTAGTTACTCACACTATTTTCTATGTTTTAACTTTATGGTCAGTTTTATTTACATTTCTCATCGAATTAAGACCAGGAATTTACACGCTTAAATATTAAATGAACATCAAAGTTCTTGATGTAAGCTCTGTTCATTAGAACTCAACTTATTTATATTTTGTGTATATATTTATAATCATATAATAAAATGAAGTCAAACATATGATATGTATTAAATTGTGATATTTTCAGTCTTTCGTTTTATTAAAATATATATCAACACCTAACTCACATATATCGCATATATAGTAATTGTATATAAATATAGTAATGATATTTAGAATGTTCTAAAATAATCAGGTGTATCTCATACAAATTTTAACAATATGATTGCCATAAAAAATACCAAACATAGTTAAAAAAAACATCTATTCCGATAAATATTTTTATTAAAAATGAAATATATACACATTATATTATTTACAATTTGACCTATGTTATAGAAAACATTAGAAGAATGATACAAAATAAATACAAATGTGTATAATCTTCGGAAGATGATGAACAGGATTGTGTAGTTGAAGGAGCAGGGATATTACAATGGACTCGGCGTACATGTCTATCTAAAGTATGTATGGTTTTAAAGATTTTATAACAAAATTGACACGAATTAGGATAAATGGCTCGTGGCTCTTTGTCATGCTGTCTCCTGAAGTGTCGATATAAAGAGCTACGAGCTGTAAACGTGGTTTTGCATTCACTACAAGCAAAGTCCATGTTGGTTTATTGGATAAATTACAAATAAAATAGATATCGAGAATAAAGAGCAAAGTGACTAAATTGTATAAATTGTGAAATGAGTATGAACTAAAGGCTAGAGCATGAAAATAGAAAGTAATGTAAACGTAAGTAAAAAAGTACCTAAATAATATGGAAGCTAAGCTATTAACGAACCTAAATGTAAAAACTACTGAAATAATATGGACCTAAGCTAGGCCTAAATGTTAAAAATACCTAAATAATATGGCTAAGGTAGTAACGAAGCTAAATGTAAAAACGACTTAAATAATATGGAACCTAAGGTAGACCTAAATGTTAAAAGTACCTAATTTATATGGAACCTAAGCTAGTAACGAACCTAAATGTAAAAACTACTTAAATAATATGGAACCTAAGCTAGACCTAACTATTAGTATCTAAATAATATGGAAGCTAAGCTAGTAACGAACCTAAATGTAAAAAGTACTAAGCTAGACCTAAATGTAAAAAGTAGCAAAATAATATGGAAGCAGCTAGACCTAAATGTGAAAAGAAGGTAAAGAAAGTGGAACCTAAGCTAGACCTTAATGTAGAAAGTGAGATAATAACCCTCAAATAAAACAAACCTAATGAAGAAGTAAATTTGTTAATTTCAAAAAGCGCAGTAAGAAATATAAATGAAAAGAAACAGAACGAATTATAATAAAATATGTTAATGTAAGAAAAATAATAATAAAAGCCTTACTTAAGAAGAAACGTGCACAAGCGAATTGATTGCATAGCACTAAAATGGTAACCGCAGAGGAAAGAACAATATAAAATGAAATGAAATAAATGAAAGAATCATAAAGAAACGAAATGAAAAGGCATAACTGCAAACAAAATGAAATTAAAAACGCACAATCAGAATAAAGGTCTTACTTGAACAGAAAATGGCGGACATGACACGATACAACGCTACAAGAAAAAAATGAGATCGAGCATATGCGCAGTAGTGGTAGAAGAATTGCACTAAATATTCCCCTAAATGATTTGCAGAAAGCAACACTGCTGAAATTTTGACAGGTTATGATCAACACCGGAGCCAACTTCAGTGTGTATGGGTTTTCTGGCAATCGTAATTTTTTGTTATTTAATGACTCCTATAATCCACATGTTGTGCCAGTCATAGATAAACAAGTATGAATAGATCGCTATGTCTGGCGATTTGACGTTACCTCGATTGAAATACAAATTTTAACTAGTGGGTTGTGTGGCATCGTGCCTTAAGGCAAATTGCTGGAACTTTCCGTACCGTAACGAGATGTTCGAGAAATACTGAATGTTTACAAATAGATTATTATAAATTTTGTAACATTGTCTAATATTTATAAGAATTATATAAACTGAATTGCAAAGTTGAAATTATTTGTTTAAAGTATATTAGAACTATAGTCAGAATTAAAAATAAAATCTGAAATATTTTCGATACACAAAAAAATTAAAAAAAAAAAAAATGATAAAAGTTAAAACAATTTTTTTTGTTCTAAAATCAATTATTTTGTTAAGACAATCAGAAAGTTTTTTGAATCAATTAAATCGAACGCGTAGTTCTCTCAAAAACAGCCATTTTTGTAGATTTAGCTCCGTATCTTCGAAATGGCTGAGCCTGCCTTTGCCAAAAACAAATAACCACTTCTCCCAATCATTACTAATTGAATGTTTTTTAGATCATTCAAATCGGATGCTCCGTTCTCTCAAAAACTCGATTTCTATTTTCTGCACTCTTTGCTCTTTATCTCCGTAACTGCTGGACCTGCCTTTGCCAAAAATTAATCAACACATTATCAATATATTTTTGAACCATTCAAATCGATTGATCCGTACGACGGAAAACGTGGACGACACACATCCATTTTTTCTGAAGTATGCCAAAATGTTCAGAAACCTTCAAAACGTAGAGAAATGTAAAAAAATTCAATTTCGATTTTCGGCCCATTACAATAACTTACCCTAAGGGAAGTTAAAAATAGATGGCAGCACATGTATAATATTTAAATTAACCCCTGGTATTACTTCTAAATTTGTACGTATAGTATAGAACAGGGGTCGGCAAGCTTTTAACCGTAGTGTGCCAAGCCACTCTACCAATGGGTTCGTTCCATCCGAGCCAATCTGACAGTCCGGAACTGTCCGCGCATGCGCAGAACACTTTTTTCTGTTCCATCCAAAATTTTGGATTCCAAACTGTTGCGGACTGTCAGTAATGCGTTCCATGTCCGATGAGTTTGAAACTATCATTTTGTGTTTGTACTCGGCACAAACAAAAACTTCGCAATTTAATACGATTAAAATATAATGTTATTTAATCCCAAATAGAACATTAAAAATTTAATGAATTTACAGGAGTTCAAACATTGTAGAATACATAGATAAGTAAACATAAATAGATCGCTATCTGAGGCCATTTGACATTACCGCCATTTTAATATTTTTAGCGATCTGAAGAAGGCAGCACTTGTTCAGTATATAAATCAACCGCTGGTATTATTCCTAGATATGGTTCGCATACGTAATTCAAAATAAGAAAACCTAAATAATTTCTTATATTGGAAATGAGAAAAAAAAAACATACGAAGTACAAAATATATTTTCAAATATATCACAAACATTTTTACATAACAATTAAAATTTTTATAAATGCAATAATCAATATATACATAATAATAAGTATTATAATTTCACAATTATAAGTAACTGAAAAAAGTATTCACAATGGTACGATAAATTTACAAGGAACAATCAATATGAATTATTGAATGATCAATAATATATAACAACTACACAGAAATATTGTAAAAGTTTTCATAAGTATAATGAATTTACACGAACTGACTAATATTAATTTCTTAATGACTAATATTAATATATTAAAAAGAGAAGAAAAAAGTATAGAGTCTAAGTATGTAGTATATAGAGTATATACTAAAGATAATGGAATAGTATAATTAGAAGAAATGACAAATAATGAACAAATTTAAAAAGTTAAATCCTACAGATATAAAATATATATATTGATATCAAAATTGATAGAAAACTAAATTCCAAGAATTAAAATTCATTTATGAGTCATGCTTCTTTAACATTAACTTTGCATTTGATAGTTATTTTGCTTTCCAATCAATCATTAAAAAAGTTGCATTCTACAATATCTTGAATTTCTTATGATTCGATTGTGTCAATAGAACAGTGCAGCAGTCCTTTTGGCTGGAATGTTAAGAATATTTCTGAGCATTTTATACTCTGTTGCAATTTATACCTTAAATTATTGCATTGTTTGTCTATCCTTCTTAACTCCCTCAACATATAATGGATGTGTCATACATTTTACATGCCCTTGGAATGAAGACACTCCTATCCTTAGTCACTAGATTCTGCTGCAATTTGTATCCCCAAGAACATCTAATAAACATAACATGTTGTAATATAATATCAAGTCGTAATAGCAAATGGTATTAAAATATTCAGAATTATTATTACCTTTTCCACTGGAGTTGCAGAGTAATGGTCATTATAGACATGAGAACTATTCTGTGAAATATAATTTGACATTTCTAATTTGTTCACTTCATAAAGCCGGAAAGAGTGCATTTTTATAGTATTTCTGAAGTTACCACAAGTTGGTGGGTTACATTTTGCCATATTAAATTTCACATAAATGCTTACTTGAATACAATTAATTACAGAAACAACATCGAACCACAAACTTTGATACAAAATGGCGAATGGCAAATCTAAGCGAGTAATTTTGACATTTGAAACCATCACATTTTGAAACTAGTAGCGACATCTTTTTTTCGCTAAAAATAGTAGTCCTTTCCAAAACAGGGTTGTACGGAGATAACTCCCCATGGTAGAATATTAGATTAAAGCGACATAACGATATATAACTAGGAAATATTAAAAAGCAAATTCATTGATATAATTAAGTTATATTTTATTAGAATATGTTATATATATATATATATATATATATATATATATATAAATATTAAACTTATATTTATGTATTAAAATAATAATTATTAATACAATCGAGTGAGCTCCGAGTTCGATCGCGTTGCATGTATCAAAACCAAACCATTGCCAACTGCCATGAAAAAATCAGAAAGAGTTTGCCGCCTTAATTTTGAAATATATAGTTAGGTTCTAGGGAAGAAGAATTATAACCAAATTCATCTTTTAAACATATTTATTAACAAATAACATGAATTTCTAATATAAACAGTGCCCGATTACCCCAAAGGCCCGTGAGACCCGGGCCTAGGGCGGCATAATTTAGGGGGCGGCATAATTTAGGGGGCGGCAAATTTTTCAAAATGTAAAAATTTTGAACTCGATGAAATGACACGACAATTCATTTTAAGGATAGATCCTAAATATTTTTTTTTTTGTAAATTTAGAGATCATTTTCGATGAACTAGAACGTAATGCGTTTTCTAATCAAATTTATTATTCGTGGGTGCCGCATTGTATCATATTATCAACTCCAGGACGGCTAAGTTATAATAATCCTAAAAAATCGTAAATAAAATTGTTTATATATCTCTACGCTTCAAGTTCTCCTGAACATTTTGACATGCCTTAGAAAAAATGGATGTATGCATGTGTTTATGCGGTTACAATTTTTTGCTAATTGGCATTCGGAAAAACGTGCTGATTAGTTTTTTGCAAAGACAGTTTCGGAATAGGGAGCAAAGAGTTAAAAAAATGATAATTCAATTTTTCAAAAACGAAGCGTCCGATTTGAATAATTCAAGATACTTTTTACTTGTATGACGAAATAAGAACTATCGAAAATTTTGCGAGAGCATGGTCAGCGTTTTTGGTGATCCAAAAAGGTGTCATTTGGTGATAAAAAGTGATCATTGACATCAAATTATTAGATTTTTTATAAAAAAATGATTAATTATTACAAATTTTGTCTTCATTATTTTGAACCACTCCGTACCAAGATTTTTAATTTTCAAAGTTTACTTCTTAGATAGTTTAAATGTCCTTTGCAAGGATCAATCGCTATGAATGATTCAGAAAATATTCGCTTGGCTTTGACTGAGAGGCCTACTGTTTATGCAGGCAGGTTTAGCATTTTTGGAGATACAGAGAGCAGAAGGTGCAAAAGTGGTCATGAAGGTTTTGAGAGTACAGATCATTCGATTGGAATGACTCAAAAAATATTTTGTTCGTGGTATTTTAGTGATATAAAGAAATGATTAGTTTTCCGAAAAGGCAAGTCCACTGGTTTCAAAATTTTGAGAAAATTAAAATATCTAAAATTTTCAAATAATCGATTTATTTTAGAATTAAAAAAAAAACTCGAAAATTTTGAATATCTCGTTTCTATTTATCGAGTTCAGTTCAATGTCTTTTTAATTTGTGAAATCAGTTCAGGCGTTTTTGAAAATAAAATTTTGATTTATCACATCACAAAATCGTCTTTTAACACAAATTTTGACTATAAAGTTTTATCAAACTTTGATGAATTTTTACAACTTTCAAATATTTTGACTCCTAATTGATATCTTTCAGAAATCTTTTTTCCAAAAACGTAATAATTTTGCTTTTTTATGCTAATTTCAAACAACCGGCTCTTCCGATCGTCTCACAAACCTAATCAGTCCGGCAGGTTTTTACAAAAAACTAATGAATACGATTTCCAATCAAGATTTTTCGAATGGTTTTTGAATTTTTAAAATCGGCATAAAATTGTGGGCTAAAACTTTGACGAATTTTTTCTCTCTTTTACTAATTACAAAAAAAAGGTTGGTCGGCCGTTAAACCTGCCTTCCCAAAAATTTAGGTAATTATTCATTCCTTTAGTACAAGTAAATTTTTTTTAATTATTCGGAAACTAGCCTCTCGGTTCTTTCAAAAACCGAATTGCAATTTTTGCACTTTTGTTCTGCATTTTCCAAACGGCTAAACCTGTCTT